CAGGTACGATTTTGAAAAGGCTTTAGCGGAAGCATTTTGATTTTGACCCTAATGTTAATCTGATAACTACTTTGAAGAACTATATAGTCCAAGTTCATTGTATAAGAAATGTTTTAAAAAACACACACAAATCAATGAATTCAAATTGCAATGGTTTATTGAAAATGAAATACTAATCAAACAATCCAAAACATTATCAACACTGTAGAATGTACAATATTTTCATTTTGAAAAAAAAAAATATGGCAGTAAGTGAAAAAACTTTACAAGCAAATAACGTTGAAAATTACAATTTTTAAAGCTTGCATTGTACATAAAGATTCGAAAGTTATGACACTAATTGTCTTCTCGGTTCTCATTTATTACTACATGTATATTAAACATAGGATGGTATATCTGAATCATGAAGCAAAAAGCCTAACAATCAACCATGTAATAATTGTACTGCATACTAAAACAAAGTTAATCTAGTTGTAAATGGGTCCCTGCATTTACCTGTCTGTCCAATAGTAAATTCTCTGTCATCAACTTACTTACAGTCTATTTACTGTATGTGCTCTATAAGAAGTGCACATAAACCCAAAAAATTGCATTTATTATACACTGGATCGCTAAAATATGACTATTAAAAGATACCTCTGTCATTTACAAAGTACATGTGCTACTAATACAGTAAATTTGGTATATTATAAAACGAGACATTCTAGTGATTATATTCTCAATGCCCAGTTTCAATTTGATTGTAAAACAAATCTGAACGACTAATATTGGAAATGTAGAAATTGGGGGGAGGGAGAAATAATCAGGCAAAAAATGAAAGGCAAATTTCTGAGTGAATTTCTGTGAATTCATCCATATAGTATACTTTCCACATTCCTAAACAGTAAATTCTTTTATTAAACTGCACTTCACAACAAAACATGATTACAAACTTTTTATTCACCTAAAACTTGTTTTTAACCTAAAATGATGGCACCTATTAAATTAAACATATCCATCATACCGGTAACTGTTTTCCCTTCCACAATCTAACCAAAAACTAAACTGCACTAAAAAATATTACGAGGCAGAGAAAGCCATAAAGATGTTAGAAATCTGTGAGGCTTGTTTTTGCATGCACTGAAAGACTGATAAGATAATGATTTTTTGGCAAGGGTGTAACATCCCTGACCAATTTGTTGAAGACAAACTAAGAGAAATCTTTCTGCAACAACACTGCCTTAATTCTTTTTGATGAAAGATTACGTTTTATACTCTACAATGCATCAAATTACAGTTAATGTTTACCATGTTAGTGTTCATTATATTAGTGTCCACTGTGTAAGTGTCCACTGTGTTAGTGTCCACTATGTTAGTGTCCACTATGTTAGTGTCCACTATGTTAGTGTCCACTATGTTAGTGTTCATTATATTAGTGTCCACTGTGTTAGTAATTAGTCTTATGTTCATTTAGGGTAAATGTTTCAAATCTTGCAAAAATAAAAAGTAATATACAAAAACATGTACATTATAATATAACATAAATTAAATTTGCATTAAATACATCTAAATGTGTATTTATGTAATAAAAATCAATAATTTTAAAATAATGTTCACAATTGAATTGTTTTAGGCCAATATAATTATATTAATGGAGTATACAGACACTTCATATTGTCAATAAATATAAGAAATAAAGTTTTTTCTTGAAGTCCAGAAAACCACAACAAATTACCATAGTTGGGCCATTCTTATATTCATTTACCCATACTGCCCTTCTAACACAGCACAGGTTTAAGGTGAAGCACAAATGCTAAAACAAAGAACAGATTTAATTATATTACTAAGAGTAGTAAATGTTATGGAAAATCTCAAGGCGACTAAATTCAACGAAAAAATTATGCAGCATTCATTCCAGATTGAAACAAATTAAATTTCATACAACTGGATATTGATTACATACTGTAAAATACTTTATTTTAGCTGGAATTAATTTCTACCGAAAAGACTTTAGGTGTTTTGTATGGAGTTTATTTTGACTGATTTTTGACGAGTTGAATGTAAAGTATGGGGGAAAAAGGTTTATTTGCTGGTTTTTATTTTCATTGTATCATTCCTTCAGCGAAAATAAATTGCAAGTGAAAATAAAGTATTTTACAGTATATGAAAGATGTCAATTTACACTACGAGACACAGCAGGGGAAAAATATCAACTGAAGTATAGTGATATTATGTTTACCATGTGGCTCACAATCTCCCAAGCATGGAATGCTTTAATTTTCTAGACAAAACTTTACGAATTTCAGTTGAGAAATTAATCAAGTATAACATGTTTTGTAATTTGGAACCTGTATGGAACTCTCTTGAAAAGGAACGGCACATGAATAGAAATAACTTGATATACCTCCACATCTGTTTGAATAAACGTATCTCTCTAACAAACCAAAATGATGTACTTTCAAGCATCCCATGTACCGAGGCTTTGCAATACCACCTCAAAACCCCACAATCATGTAAAAGAACACTCTTGATTAAATAAAAATAACACAGCTAAAATAGCTGTGCACTATTCCAATTTGAATGTAGCTTTCACATATACTAAACTGATCATCATTGAAGTCAGACTACAAGTCAATGATGTATCACACCTCAAATAGCACACTTTGTCATTGCATAATAACCCTTCCACAATTATGGATCATTGTCATGTTCCAGGCGAAGGCAATGGAACTTTACTCGCTGAAGAAGTTGCACTATCTGAAGTCTTTGTTTCAGAATCTATTTTTGCTGCTGTTGAAGTTGTAGAACTGACTGCAGCTGAGGTTGAGGTTGTAGTTGTAGTGACAGCTGTTGTTGTGGTTGCGACGATTGCAGTTGCAGGTACAACTGCAGCATTCCTCAAGTAAGCTGCAGTATATTTTGTTCTAATTGGTGCAGTTTTAAAATGTAAAAGTGGATGAGAAAAAGGTGATAACATAATCGGTGTCCGATGTGGATGATATCCTATTGGTATTGCATGTGGGTGCCCTAACTGTTGATGAAGTAAATGTTGTGCGGAGAAAGCTCCACCAGGTAAATGAATTGGCATGTGACCATGTATTGATATTGGCCCATGTAATGGTAATGCTCCAGCAGGAATATGGCTTATAGGATGACCTGCTGCTGCAGCAGCTTGCAACTGTAACTGGTGAGCATTATGTTGTGCTGCTGCAATTGCTGATGCAGTGGGCGACATCTGTATAGGCATATGTCCATGCATAGATGCATACTGAAGTATTGGAGTTGCACCAACAGAGTGTGGAGTCATTGAAACTGGTATCGGAATTGGTTGTTGATGATGAGCTGCATGAGGTTGTGGTTGAGGTCCTTGCCCCTGACCTGCAGGAGACAATGGCGGTGGAGGTGGTGGTGGGGCTCCGGCAGCAGCTGCTATTGCTGCTTGGTGTGCTTGTTGTTGTTGTTGTTGTTGTTGTGCAGCTGCTTGTTGTTGCTGTGCTGCTGCTGCCTGATGTACTGCAGCCTGTTGAGCAGCCGACTGCGCTACTGGGTGCTGTGCTCCTTGTTGAGCTGCTGCTTGTTGCTGTGCAATAGCTTGCTGTTGTGCAATAGCTTGTTGCTGTGCAATAGCTTGCTGTTGTGCAATAGCTTGTTGATGCACCATAGCTTGTTGATGAACCATAACTTGTTGGTGTGCTACAGCTTGTTGGTGTGCCACAGCTTGTTGGTGGACAACAGCTTGCTGTGGAGTCATGATTTGTTGTTGCATAGCTGCCTGGTGTTGAGCTGCTGCTACTGCTTGTTGCTGTGCAGCAGCTTGCTGAGCGGCTGCTGCTTGATGGTGAGCCGCAGCTTGCTGTGCAGCAGCAATGGATACCGGAACTGGATTACCAACAGGCAACCGCTGAGGTGCACCTGGTTGAAGTGGTACAGGACCTTGTGTTGGAGCTGGAGTAGGACTCTGTGGATGAGGTTGTTGCCCAGGATGCGAGACTGCAACATGCATAGCTGGATGTGGTAGTTGATGTGGTGCAGCATGGGGGTGAGGGGCACCCGGATGATGCTGTGGTGGTTGTAACTGAGACTGTGGATGATGAGCTGGAATACCAGGTCCTTGTGCTTGCAGAGGCACAGGATGTAATCCTTGTTGTTGTTGTTGTTGCTGTTGCAGTTGTTGTTGCTGTTGCAGTTGTTGCTGTTGCTGATGATGCATTTGTTCTTGCTGTTGTTGCTGTTGCATCTGCTGTTGATGTAATTGTTGTTGTTGATGTTGCTGATGCTGCTGTAGCTGTTGATGATGTATTTGTAACTGCTGCTGTTGTTGTTGGTGTTTGATATGAAGTTGTGCTTGCTCTTGCAACTTCCTGTATTTTTCCATCTCTTCAGGTGGTATAATTGGTTTTGCAGGAGAAGGGGATGATGCTTTTGCTTTGTTTTTCTCGTCTTCCTGCTTTCGCTGTTGCTCAAGTTTCTGTTGCCGTTGCTGTTGCATCTGTTGACTTTGTTGTTTAGTTAGTACTGTTACTTTGGGTTCTGTAGCCTTTGGAGCAATAACAAGTTTTTCTTTTGAAACATTTTCTTCACTGGTATCATCTTTTGGAGATGGCAATTTTGTATCAGGGCTTTTGTCATTGGAATCTTTACTTTTATCATCTGTTATATTCTCCGACAAAGCCTTCTTTTTCGGTTCAGAATCAACAGGACTGAGATCCTTAGACTGGGTTACAGTCTCAGGTTTCCCAATATCTATCCGCACTGGTTCATCTCTCAAAGTTTTCATCACAATGCCTTTTCTCCCTGTTGGTAACTTCCCAATGAGTGGGAGCACAGGTGGCCGGTGTAGCTCCGGGGGTAATTTAGGGCCATAATACCCAACAGGAGGGTCCTTCAGTTTAATCCCAGCCTTCAATCTAGCAATTGCAGACTTTACATGGCTGTCTTCAGCAGCCTTCTCAGCTTCTGCTTTATACTGTTGTTTTCTTTGCTGAACCCGCTCAAGCAGTCTTTTCACTTGCTGAGCCTGTAAGTTTTCTACACGCACACATTCTAATAGAATTGGACTCTCAACCGCACTGGTGATTTTCGTATTTGAAAGATTCTTACTTGACGATGATCTTGTAGGACTTGTTTTACGGTTTCCAGTGTGAGATTTGGATACGTCCCATCGACCACTTCCTTTGATTTTATCATTTTGCTTATTATCTTTGTAATCTTTCTTATCATGGCTTCTCTCAGAACGTTTGTAAGTGGATGCACTGCGATCACGACTTCTACTACGTGTATAGGAACGAGAATGCCTTCTGTGCCTCGAAGAGCGAGAGTAATCAGAATCTGCACTGTAACTTCTTTGACGACTACGTTTACTTCTTTCTTTATCAGAGTCATCATCATCCCGATATCGTCTTTTTTCATGTCTTCTGCTACTGTGCCTATCATAATAACTATCATCAGTGTCATAGTCACTACTGTGATGGTGATGACTCCGACTAGAACGCTTCTTATCTGACCTATGGCTACTCCTGTGGTAATCTGAATCACTATCATCACTGTATCTGTCATGAGATCGTTTGTGGTTGGAGCGTTCATGATCAGTACTGTCATAACTCTCATCTGAATAGTCATCATATCTATGTTTACGATGTCGCTTGCTGTCTCTTTTATCATCCTCTCTATCACTATAATCGCTGGAGCTATCATGATATTTACGTTTGGAAGAAGATTTAAGATCAGAATGTTTATAATGTTCTGCCTCATCATCATAACTACTATACTCATCACTTGATTTGTCATCCTTACGTTTATCTTTATGTTTCTCTTCTCTTTTTACGTTTTGATTTTGATTTGGAACTCAATGATGTCTCATCCACTCTGCATGT